AAAGCCATTTGAACTGCAAGGTCGGCAGTTCAAGTTCACCAGCTGATCCTTGGAAACCCTATACAGGCTCGCTATGGGTTGGAATCGACTCGACAGCACTTAACAGCAACAACAATATACACACACATACACATATGTATGTTGTTGTTGTTAAGTGCCATCTAGTTGGTTCTGACTTATAGCAACCCTGTATAGGGTTTAGTGGTGTGTTTGAACTGCCAACTTTATGGTTACCAGTTCAGTGCTTGTCCTACAGAGCCACACTGTAGGATAAGCACATAGATATATATTTCAAAAGTTGTGGAATAGAGTGGGAGAAAATATGGAGCACAACTCAAATCATAAAAAAGCCCAGGCTTACTGATCAGATAGAAAGTGATAGAACCCCGGAACTATGGCCCTTGGTCACCCCTCAGGTCTGGAACTGAACTCATTCTCAAGGCACAAATGTCAGCTAAGCCATAGCTGCTATGTCTATAAGGGTATAACAACAGTAGTGAGGTACGCATGCCATAGAATGACCAAACATTTGAGATCAAAAGGGCAGCATTTACCCGAAGCCAAAGTTCGGAAGGGTTGGGAAAGCAGGAGGAATGGAAACCGGAAACAGAGGGAGGAAGTGAGATACAGATGCTCCATTGCAGGAACGGCAGTCAGTGAGGTGAAAGGAAGTGAATATGTTTTATTCAATGTAACACTCATGATCTACTCTGTAAACCTTCACCCTATGGACAATAAAGATTTTTTCTTAAAGTTTGTGGGAAACTTGAATGAAAAAGTAATGAGATCTTTCCATAAACTTTTTGAAGCCCCTGTATTATAAACATAACATGAGACAATATAAAATGAATGATGTTGTCTCACCTTGTAAACTTTCTGTGATCGAAATATATCTGTGTATTGATGTAGCTGTTGTTACGTGCCGTGGAATCAGTTCTGACTCATAGCGACACTATGTACAGCAGAAATTCGTCCTCACAATTGTTACACTTGAGTCCATTGAGGTTGTCCATGTGCCAGTCCATCTCATTAGGGGCTTCCTCCTTTTCAAGGATTCGCCACTTTACTAAGAATAATGTCCTTCTCCAGGGACTGATCCCTCCTGATGATATGTCCAAAGTATGAGAAACAAAGTCTCATGAGTTTTGTTTCTAAGGAGTATTTGGGCTGCACTTCCTCCAAGACAGATTGTATATTGATGATGACTGGGGTTGTTTACTTTCCAACAACTCTTATCCTTCCCCAAAGATGCATTAACTCAAGATGCATTCCTAAAATTAGCGGCATCTTAGGATCAAGGAAACATGTCTGTTGTTAGGTGCCATCAAGTCAATTCCAGCTCACAGCAATCCTGTATAGGGTTTCCGAGGAGCAGCTGGTAGATTTGAACTGCCGACCTGTGGTTTGAAGTCCAGTGCTGATTCAACAGTGCCACACCAGGAGTCCAAACCACCTGGCAAATATTTGGTCAATGGTTGGAGACTATTGTTATATTTGGTGCTTTATAAACACTAAGTGCTTAACCATAAAGAAGAGAAATGAAACAGAAAATATTCCACTACGGTAAGGTAGCAGAAAAAAGGGCTGGGGGAGATAAGACCATGGAAGGACTGAAAGTGATCACCGTGGCTGCCAGGAAGGTCTCTGGGCAGATCTGTGCTGAGGCCTTGCTCTGTGCCAGGTACTGTGCTTGGCACCAGGGGTTGGGGGTGGGGAACATAAGGAGATAAGAATGCTGCCCTCTAGGGGAGCAGGCTAATGGAGGCTGAGTAGCTCAGGTTGCAACCTCCCTAACCATAGTCAAGGGGGATAAGAGAGGTGCAGGGGACCACTTGGTGTTGCTCTGAGGTTTCCTGGATCCTTCACAGGTTAAACCTCGCCCAGCCCCCACAGAGTTAGGCTGAGGGGCTGCAGGAGGAGCAGGTCATGGCCACAAACAAATATCCTTATAGAGTGGGCCAAGACCTCAGAATGCAGACTCCAGTACATTGAGGCAAAAAGGAAGGAACACTTCCCAAGCCAGCCGCTCTGAGTGTTCACCTGTTTTTCTTCTCTACTTCTCCAGTTTGCCAGCCCTTCCAAGTCCCAGCTGACCATGGCTCCTGGAGAGAAGATCAAAGCCAAAATCAGGAAGAATCTGCCCATGACGGGACCCCAGGCGCCTACTATTAAAGAGCTGATGCAGTGGTACTGCCTTAACACCAACACTCACGGCTGCCGCCGCATTGTGGTGTCCCGCGGCCGCCTCCGCCGCCTGCTTTGGATCCTGTTCACGCTGACAGCCGTAGCTCTCATTTTCTGGCAGTGTGCCCTCCTCATCCTCTCCTTCTACACCGTCTCGGTCTCCATCAAAGTACACTTCCAGAAGCTGGATTTTCCTGCTGTCACCATCTGCAACATCAACCCATACAAGTAAGAGAGGCAGGAGCCAGGATAGCAGAAAGCCAGGTGCCTTCCAGATGCAAACGCCCCTCCCCAAGGTCACACACTGGCTGCCTCTGGGCCAAGTCAGCCTGCAGTCACGCTTTTTAGATATTTGAATGAGTTACCAACATTTGTGAACTGCCCTCTCCCAGGTTCTAAATCTGCAACAAGTTTTCAGCCTATTCTTGATGCTGCCATGGGCTGGCTCAGGAAAGGTGGGAAGGAAGGGTCAGTTTCCTTTGGGAGTTAGTTCTGGAATAAACTAGCATTCTCCCCCAAACCTCCACCCTTCTAGGCAGGGCTTAACCACTTCCATCAGCTTTCCAAGCTCACACGCTCACTCTCCCAGCTCCAGGCTGTCTCAGAAGTGACACCCTTACGGAAGCAACTCAGCTGCCCTAAACCCTCATCTGGATGGTCCAGCCCCACTAATTGAGTTCTTTGAGCTCTGGGCAGGATCAGCCCTTGGTAATACCGTCTTGTCAGCCGTAAGACCTGTTCTAAACGGGTCATCGGAGTCTTTCTCGGGATTACTGAAAACTGATTTGTGAGGTTGAGCCAAACTTGACAGAATCTCTCAGAGCAAGTGTGGGGTTGGGGAGAAGAGAAGAACAGCAGAGGAAGATTATCAAGGGAAATTGACTTGTCCAAAGTCATCAATGGGTTGGCACCTGAATTTGACATCAAGATCAGATCTAAGATTCATCCTCCACCTCCACCCCTGCCGTCCGTCCTTCCTCCTCCCTCTCTTTATCCTTCATCCCTCCCTTCATTTGTTTCATAATCATTTACCCAGCACCTGAATTATTGTGTTAGGTTCTGGAGTCCTGGTGTGGTGCTGTAGGATAAAAACTGGACCACAAGTTCAGGTTGAACTGCAAGGACTGCGGTTCAAGCCCACCAGCTGCTCCTTGGAAACCCTATACAGGTCACTATGAATTGGAACTGACTTGATGGCACTTAACAACAACAATAACAACAATAATATCAGCTCATATATATCTCTATCTATGTCTATGTATCACTGGTCTTCCCTATAGCCCCATTGTACAGAGGAGACCGAGGCATTGAAAGATGAACTGACTTGCCCAAGGTCACACAACCAGTACAGAATAGGGAACGCAAATCCAGAGAATTTGGTTCTAGAGTTCGTATACTTGAAGGCTGTGTTATTCTGCCTATACAGAGAGCAAGAAGGAGACGGGAGAGAGCAAAGAGTTAAGAGGAATGCAGGAACCATTTGACATTGTAACAGATGAAAGATGGTAGCCCTGGACTGCTAACTGAAATGTTGGTGGTTCAAACCCACCAGCTGCTCCTCGGAAACCCTATACAGGGTTGCTATGAGTCGGAACTGACTCAACAGCACTTAACAACAACGACATCATTCTTCAGTGTTCTTTGGAGTTGTCAAGGAAACAGTTATATGTATGCTTTCCTCATACCACTGATTTCAGGGGAATCAGTGTGTTCAGTGGAGATGGAGTTACCCGCTGGTAGACTTCAAGGTACCAGTTTTTTTTGCCAGTCCTCACTGTGGCTGGTTTATAGGAGGCAACTGTCAGTTACCACTCCAGAAATGCTGGTTGGGGCAAACTCGTAAACACACCCCAAGAGCTAGCAGGCAGTGGTGGCAGAGGTAAAGCCACAGGAAGTCACACAAGGGTCACACGTGATAGTCACTTTAGATGGAGGCAAGTTGTAAAGGGACTGATCTGCTTGACAAACAAAGGAGGCAGGGAAGACAGCACAAGACTGACACATGTTGATGGAAAGTGGCATGGGGAAGTCCCCATGTTCTGTGACAGGCACTGAGGACTGCCAAAACAGCTCCACCTCCCTAAATCGTTCTTCCTACTTTGACAGGTACAGCGCGGTAAGGGATATTCTATCTGACTTGGAACAGGAGACCAGGGATGCCTTGAAGACCCTTTATGGCTTTTCTGAGATGAAGTCTCGAAAGCGAAGAGAGGCCGAGTCCTGGAGTTCAGCCTGGGAGGGCACACGGCCCAAATTCATCAACTTAGTCCCACTACTGTTCTTCGATGAGCATGCGACGGGCAAGGTGGCCAGGGACTTTGTCACAGGGCGGAAGCGGAAAGTCAGCGGAAGTATAGTTCACAAGGCTTCTGACATCATGCATGTCCACCAGTCCAACCAGGTGGTGGGATTTAAATTGGTGAGATTCATTCCTCACAGTTTGGGGGCACAGGTTACTTGAGGAGAGTGGGTCCAGGGAGCTTTCTCCTTTGCCATTTGTCCTTATAGTTCTTACTGATTGAACTGAAATCCACTTAGTTCGGCTGATTCACATACAAGCAACTGAAACAGACTCCAGATATCTTAAGCAGAAAAAGTTTTCTTGAAGACTGCTAGTAGCTTATGAAAGCCTCTCAGAGGACAAAACTCAGGAGAATTCAGGGATCTAGGTGACAAGAAATAATTGAAAGTCATTTCAGAGACTGCTGCTGGGTTCAATAAGTTTTCCATTATTTCTGTTCATGCTTAAGACTCAAATTCCATCTTGGGTCCATCTGATTTGCTTCACTTGGGTTAGCCCTTAGCTGAGGGAGGGTGAGGCACCTTGATGGGCAGTCTTATTGGATTGTATCTAAGGGCGGGAAGGACATTCTCCCAAAGGGAAATGCTGCAGACATCGGAAAGAAAGAAAACAGATAATAAGAAGCAGAGATGCCAAGTATTTCCTGCATCACTTGCCTTCCTAAAGAACTATGGTCAGACTTTTAATTTCCCCTTCATGGTCTCACTTGAGGCCTCAGTCCAACTCTGTTATCTTCCCAAGAAAACTCAATCATCACCTAACCTCTCCAGGGGACTCACCTTTGGAGGACAAAAGCTGCTTTTATCTCTCTTATAACCATGATAATTTAGGTTGGTTGACCCCCAAGGCTCCATTCACAAATCCTGAAAATAGCCCTTACTCGAAATCATTGAGACTCGTCAAAGTCTTCTTATGGCCTTTTATAAGATGTCTCTAAGCTTGTCCTAGATAACAGATTTTTAGAATATCTATCTTGATGTCTGTTCTTTCAGTAGAGTTTATAAGCGCTGGGTGATGAGAACATCTGTAATAAACCAGAGTTGCATTGGAAAGCTCTCATTATATAGTCTAAATACTGGTCCTCCCATTATATGAGGTTATTTTTGTCAACATTTTATAGGTAAAATAATAGATACATGGACCCTGGGAACGTGCTGAAGAATATGCATTGGATTAGTAACTAACTGCAAGGTCAACCGTTCAAATCCACCAGTTGCTCTTGGAACCCTTGTACAGGGTTGCTATGACTTGGTGGCATGCAACAACAGCAGTAGATGCATAATGCCTCGCTCCAAGTCCCACTGAGATGTAGTGTCAGAGTTTGGGATAGAATCCATATTTCTTGACTGCTGACTCAAGAGGGAATCGGGAGGTTTGTGAAGGATTTGGTAGCAACAATCAGTCAAGTCTGGGATGTTTGGGGACCTTGAAGAAGCTGGCTTTGCTTCTTGCCTGCTGGGCAGTAGAAGGGAGTCATAGGAGAGGGCCTCTGTATCCTTCCTTGCTCAGTTCCTTCTTGGTCCTCGGGGCATGAGGAGGATCTCTCCCAATCCTCGAAAGTGAGAGAAAACACATCAAAGACCCAATTATACATCTGCTCCTGAGTTTCAGTTTCTCACCCTTTCTGTCCTTCTGAGGGCCATCAGTAGTACTGATGGCTTCAACGTGGTGTCTCCTCTTATTCACAGTGTTCAAATGACACGTCTGACTGTGCCACCTACACCTTCAGCTCGGGGGTCAATGCCATTCAGGAGTGGTATAAACTGCACTACATGAACATCATGGCACAGGTGCCTCTGGAGAAGAAAATCAACATGAGCTATTCTGCTGAGGAGCTGCTGGTCACCTGCTTCTTTGATGGGGTGTCCTGTGATGCCAGGTCAGGAGGAGGGGCCTCTCAGGCTCCTAGTACTGGCATCTCTGAGTGCCGGGTCCCTTGTGTACACCTACAGAGCAATTGTAGACCGTGGAGCTCTTCTCGCTGACCCTGCCCTTTGAAAAACAATTTATACAGGAGCTAGATTCTAAAGTCAGAGAATCAGGTGTATGTGATGTGTAATCAAAATATCTGTAAACTCATTAAATTACTCATAAACATACAGAGTATTTTATGAGAACCATGAATCTGGTACCAAGAAAAGGAGGAAGGGAAAAGGAAGGCAGGAAGGGAAGGAAAGAGAGAGAGAAGAAAGGAAGAATGGGAAGGAGGGAGGGAGGCCTGTGCACAAATGTGTGAGTATTCAGACTTTCTGCCTTTATACTAACACTCACATCCCAGATGCTAACCGAGTGATGGACAGAATTTTCTAAAGTATCCCTGCTTGTCTGAAGGGCTTTCATTTTTCCAATATTAAACCTTTCTAATCTTTCTATGCATTAATAGAGTCCTGGTGTGGCTCTGTGGGTTAATGTTGTTGTTGTTAAGTGCCGTCGAGTTGATTCCGACCCACAGCGACCCTGTATAGGGTTTCCAAGGAGCAGCTGGTGAGCTTGAACCACTGACCTTGCGGTTCAAACGACTTTGCAGTCTGATGCATTAGCCCACAAGCGCCACACCATATACTGGACTGTAAATTCAGTTTGAACTGCAAGGTCAATGGTTCAAGTTCACCAGCCACTCCTCAAAAACCATATACAGGGTCACTACGGGTCAGAACCGACTTGACAGCACTTAACAACAACAACAACAATTAGTCCTTATAAAGATTGAGCAACTGGAATCAGGTCTCTCTGAGGACTGGGTTCTCAATCAGTGTAAAGGCATATAGGTTGGAATTCCTGCATTGGTGGTCATTTCCTAGGACTGGGAATGCAGATGGGAAAATATCAAGTGTTGGCTGAAAAAATCAAGAGTAGAAAAATTGGGGACACACATAGCCCAGGATGGAGGCGAGAAACTTAAGAGGAAGCACAGAAAACAGAGTCTAATTGCTCCTCAGCGACTGTCATGCTTGATAAAGAGTGTGTTGTTGGTGTGTTGCTTCATTTGAGGGAAGATGGGAAAGTGAGTGATCATCCATAGTCAACAGAAGCGACTGTTCAGCGCAGACTAGTGGAGAGTCCCCAGTGCGGTCTTGCTGACCCGTGTTCTTCCTCCACAGGAACTTCACACTTTTCCATCATCCGATGTATGGGAATTGCTACACGTTCAACAATCGAGTCAATGAGACCATTCTCAGCACTTCCATGGGGGGCAGTGAATATGGTAAGACAACCTGTACGAAGGAGTTTCTGAGGTCCACATTCCTAACAGTGAGCATGGTAGCAACAGGACAAATGGGGAGACTTGAACTTTCTAGAAATGCATGGTCTCGCCATTGGCCAAGTCCAGAAATATTCCGCCAGCATCCTTGCTGGTCTCTTCCTTATCTGTGTCTGTTTTCCATTTTCACTTCCCTTCTTTACTTTTGGGTTCCTTCTTTTAGGAAGCTTGATTAAGTTCTTAGCAGGAGTGAGTTAGACTGGGCAGGTAACTTCCAAGTGGAGTCCTGGTGTGGCACTGGAGCACAAGGTTGGTTTGAGCCGCAAGGCTGGTGGTTCAAACTCACCAACTGCTCCTAGGAAATCCTATAGAGAGAGTGGCTATGGGTCAGAACCAGCTCAACAGCACTTAACAACAACAACAACTTTCAAGTGGAGGTAGGTCCATATATGCTGAGAGTAAGTAGACATTCACTGCTGAGTTCAAATCCCAGGCCTGCCACTCACTAGCTAGGTCATGTGACCTTGAGCAAGTTTCTGCACCTCATCTATAAAGCAGGAATAATAATAGTACCGCCTATGCAATAATATTGTGTGGTGTTGCAGAAAAATGCACTGGACCCCAGATCGATTTGAACAGCAAGGTTGGCGGTTCAAACCCACCAGCTGCTCCTTGGAAACCCTGTACAGTGTCGCTATGAGTCGGAACCAACTCGACGGCACTTAACAACAATAATAATATGATATTAGGGGAACATGGTGGCTCTGCACGAGAAACACTGGACTGTGAACCACAAGGTCTGAGACCACCAAAAGCTCTGGAGGAGAAAGATGAGGCTTTCTGCTCCCATAAAGATTTATAGCCTTGGAAGCCTTAGATGTGGTCGCTCTGAGTTGGAATCGACTCGATGGCATTTGGCATAAAATATTGGAGTACCTGGGTGATGCAGATGGTTAATGTACTCAGCTGCTAACTGAAAGGTCGGGCGTTCCAGTCCACCCAGAGGTGTTTCAGAAGACAGGCTGTCACTGAGAAGCAGTCATTGAAAACCTTGTAAAGCACAGCCCTGCTCGGACACACATGAGGTTGTCATGAAGTAGAACTGACTTAAAGGCATTTGGTACTAGTTTACAAGGTCGTTGAGAGGACTTAAAATAGGTAAAGCACTTAGAATGAGACCTGGCACGTACTAGTTAAGTTCCTTCGAGTCAGTTCTACTCATAGCGACCCATATAGGTTCCCAAGGAGACACTGGTGAATTAGAACCGCTGACCTCATGGTTCAAACCGACCTAGTGGTCCAGTGTTGTTGTTAAGTGCTGCTAAGTCGGTTCCAACCCTTAACGACCCTATACAGGGTTTCCAAGGAGCAGCTGGTCAGCTTGAACTGCCAACCTTTCAGTTTAAACCAACTTTGCAGTCCAGCGTAATAACCCACAGCACCACACCAGGACTCCATAGTAAGGCCCAATACATGCTAAATCTTGTCATTGCTGCTGCTGCTGTAACCATCAATGAAAACATCGCTACTAGTATTACCGTTACTACTATTGTACCACTGGTTTTTGTGTGGGCAACTCTGCAGACTGATCTGACTTACCACAAAAGGCATTCTTGAAAACGCAAATAGAATATGATTTGATATACAGCTATGCTCCCCTTAGGAAAGGTGAGATCATGTCATGCTGGAAAACCTCATCAATCTTAGTCTTTGTTGCTCTGTGCTCTTATCAAGAGCTGCAATTCAGAACACCTGTTCAATGGCAAGACGCAGTCTGAGTATTGGAGGGCTGAGTTGCATCATCGTGCTCTGCTTTGTTTGACTGTGTGGCCTTCAGCAAACCATCCCCTGGGCTCCAGTTCCTTTATTTATTATAAATAGAAGAGGTCACAGTTCTTTCAGTTCATATAGACCCTGCTCGTTCATTCATTCGTTTACCAGACATTTATTGAGTAACTGCAATGTGCCAGGCCCTCTTCCAGGTGCCAAGGACACAGCCGAGAAGAAGGCAGACATTGTCTCTGCCTTCAGGGAATTTACATTTGAGTGGAGAGAACAGATAACACAGGAGTAAACAAATACATAGTTATTATCTAGTTACAAATCCCCATGAGTGCTATGGAGCAAACACAGCAGCAAAAGGGAAGAGAGCTAATGGATACAGTTTCTGTTTGGGATGGCAGAAAAATTGGGGAACTAATAGTGGCAACCTTGTGATTATCATTAATACCACTGAATCATACACTTAAAAAAGTGGTTAAAATGACAAATTATATGCTATGTATATTGTACCAAAGTAGTATTTTTTAAAAAAGAGAGAGTAAGGAGAGGCTGGCAACGAAGGTCTAGAAAGGAAGTCCAGAAAGGCCTCTGCAAGGAGGAAATTGAAGGATGAGAGGGAGCAAGCCATGTTAAGATCAGGGCTTCAAACTGGTTCTTCTCAGTTGAGTCATGGCTGACAGAGCGAAACCCTGATGAACTGGAATTTTCAAAATGTGGGTGCCTGGAACGATAACTAGAATGGGGAAAACTATGGGTCAATGCCCTGTTAGAAACTTAATCTCTCTCTTAGAAAACAAGGGCAGTGTGCACAATACATAGCTGCCAAATCTCTTGGCTAGCAGAGTGGGAAACAGCGGTGTCCTGCTCAAATATGGTAGCTGACCACACCACTTTGAATGTGTCATTTTCCACAGCCCTGTCAGTAATCCAATTTCCTGCATCAGACTCTTGAAAGGATTTACTATGCCTCTTCTGACTTTCCCAAGTCAAGGCTTTGATCCAGAATTGGTCCTTCTGGTTTCTAGGTGCAGACTAGACTGTAGGGGACAAACGTAGGAGTAGGGAGAGAAATTAGATCAGTGATGACGTACCTCATTAGTGATTCATTCCTTCCCTGGGAACTCTTTCTAAGGGTTTAAGCTGCCATAGTGCTAAAACTTCCCTTTGGATGCTCAGCAGAACTTCCCAACTCAAAGGAATACATGACAACACAGGTCTCAGGTGGGGGGTAGCACTTCCCTAACTTATGCGTAGCAAGAACTGTGTAGTGATAGGGTTTGAAGCCCATTTTGTGCTATACCTGGGGATACAACAGTGAGCAAGTCAAGCACAATTCTTACCTGTGTGCAGTTTCCCTTCCAGCCTCTATCTGTCTCTCACTTGTTGGATATGCTTGGGTCCTGGGTTTGAGGATCATAAGGAAATGAATGAGGCAGGCTCCCCCAAAGGAATGGCTTTATCAAGCTGCTGTATCCTCCCAGGACTGCAAGTCATCTTGTACATAAACGAAGAGGAATATAACCCCTTCCTGGTGTCCTCCACGGGGGCCAAGGTGATTGTCCATCAGCAGGATGAATATCCCTTCATTGAGGATGTGGGGACAGAGATTGAGACAGCAATGGCCACCTCCATAGGAATGCATCTGGTAAGAGACTATTGTGACCTACAGGCTTGGCAAGGAGCACGGATTGTTTTTTAAGGATAACCAATGAGATGCAGCTAATGAAAAAGGGTGTTGGCTAGAAAGGGGAGCATGATCCTGTGATTTACACTGATTACCGAAATGGTTATTCCAGTAGCTACACTAAAAGCTACCCTCCTGTCTTCTGTATGGATTAACAAGGATAGGATGCCATTTGGGGACAGAATTTAAGGAACTTCTCTCTCTCTCTCTTTTTTTTTTTCTTGTCATGTTTTTTATGAGTTATTTATTTATTTATTTTAACTTTCTATTGTGACCGGAGTGATAGTTTACATAGGAGAACATCAGTTTTATACCATCACTTCTTTGCAGATTACAGTTCCCCGCCGCACATCATCATTCAACAGTATTTGCTTCCATTCCCTCTGTTTTTTGTTTTTTATTTTTAAGGGGGGAATGCACACAAAAACAATCAGGAATATATAATCATTTAAACAACCAAAGGGCACATTCTGCAAGCCTGCCTCCTGGCTGCCAGTACCCAGTCCCTCTCTTTCCATGAGTCCAGAGTCCTCAGCTGCTGTCTCTCTCCATGTCCTCATCTCTGCCGTCGCTGCTTCTCTGGATAGGGTCCCACACTCCACTTGTGCTCTTGTTCTTGGATCCTCTGTTTCTGGACTGTAAGATTAACTACTCCCCTCTTTTTGTTACAAAGCTTCTACCTTTACAGTTGTGACAGTTACAATTAGTCATGGTAGCAATTATTCACTATTGAATCATAAGAATCTTATCCCCATCTCTTTTCACCAGACCTGTCTAGACAAGATGAAAACTATTTAGTGGGGACTCTACCTTCCCCTGCACACTCTTAAACTGAACTCTCTCTTGAAAACTTGTAAGCCAGTCACTTTGTGCCTTTATTGCCCCCTCATTTTAGCCAATCTAAGTTACCCATCCCTATCTACTTAAGGAACCTCTCTTATTCTAAAGAAGGATACCAGGTTTTAGGAACCCATGCTGGAAGCCAGGCGTCAGGAGCTAACTATATTTTTTATGAACACATGGGAGCACAGCCATTGGAGCACAGTTCTAATCTGAAACACATGGTATTGTTCTGAGTCAGCTCAACAGCAACTGGTTTGGTTTGGTGTTTTGGCCATGGGTTATGTAAAAACGATTTAAAGGCAGAAGGAAAGTTACTGGGGCCATCAAAGGCCTATTTAGCCTGTTGGTTTCATCAATTGCACCTTATTTACCTAGAATCCCTTCTCCCTCCTAATCTGTGTCCTTCTCTGACCTCTTTGGATACTGAGAGGACTCATACACTTCTGGGCTGCAGATTCCTTCTCCCGTCAATCATGCCCCAAGGAGAAGCATGCTCTCCAGCTCTGGCCTCCCCACAGCTGTGTGGTTTTCCTTTTCACATATCACTTTTTCTTTCTCTCCTTTTGCAAGTTGTTGCTGTTTAGTGCCGTTGGGTCTCTTCCAACTCATAGCAAACATATATGTGTTTCCAAGAAGCAGCTGGTGTGCTTGAACCACCCACCTTGTGGTTAACAGTCCAGTGCTTATCCTATGGTACCACAACTTTTATTAGAATGACTATTAAAAACTTATTTAAAAGGAATATTTGTACACAGTTGTTGTTGTTGTTGTTGTTAAGTGCCATCGAGTCGGGTCCGACCCATAGCGACCCTGTACAGGGTTTCCGAGGGTGTAAATCCTTACGGGAGTAGAAAGCCTCATCTTTCTCCCGCGGAGCGGCTGGTAGTTTCGAACCGCTGACCCTAAGGTTCGCAGCCCGATTCGTAACCACTACGCTAAAAGACCCAAATCATCAAGGAATATACAATGCTGAGTCTATCTCCTTACCTTCCCTGCCCTCCAGACCCCGCCTTCCTCTCCTTAAAGACCGTAACTGTTGCTTCTGTGTCTTGACAGAGATTTTTTAGTCTTATTCACATGCATGTGTATGTTGTTGATATTGTGACGTGCCATTGAGTTAGTTCTGACTCATAGCAACCCTGTATAAGGTTTCCAAGGAGTAGCTGGTGGGTTTGAACCGCCACCTTGCAGTTCAAACTGACCTTGAGTTCTGTGCTTATCCTCCAGCACCACACCAGGACTCCGTGCATGTGTGTGGGAATAAGTGTTGCTCCTTTAAATACTGCCAGGCTCCATTTTTCAACTACAATGTAGCTTAGCAATGGTTCCATGCCTACTGATCTGCCTCATTCTTGTTGTTGTTAAAGTGCCATTGAGTCAGTTCTGACCTATAAGGACTCTGTATAGGGTTTCTGAAGAGCGGCTGGTGAGTTTGAACCACCGACCTTGTGGTTCAAACCAAGCTTTCAGTCCAGTGCTTGATCCCATAGTGACCCACCAGGACTCCTCATGATGGACATTAGGTTGTTTCCAGGCTTTGGGTACTAAAAACAATGGTATGAAATGATGAATATTTGTCTGGTTACTTCTAAAAGTGTATTTGCCAAATTGCCATCCAGTGAGATTATAGGCATTTATAGCTTCACCAGCAATATGTGAGAGAAACTATTTCCCCAAACGCTTACCAACACAGCGTATTACCTTACATAATCTTTCCTAATTTGTCAAAAAATAAAAAAGTTATCTCTATAGTTGTGTGGTGCTACAGGTTAATGAGCTGGACTGCAAGGTCAGTTTGAACCACAAGGTTAGCAGTTCAAGCTCACCAGCCGCTCCTCAAAAACCCAATACAGAGTAACTGGGTAGGAACCCACTCATCGGCATTTAACAACAATATATAATTATAATTTGCATTTCTTCTCAGTGGTATTCCTTCATGTATTTGTGAAAGCAAAGCAAAATAAAAACTCCGTCTCTTTGTGGACTATCTGTTCCTGTCTTTATTTATGTATCACTTTGGTGTTCCAGCTTCAGCCTCTTAGCCTTCATAGCTCACAGATCTGTCCTGCAGCGCAGTGCCTTTCCAAACCTGCTGATGATCAGACTCAGGTCTACTGAATCATAATCTCTGGGAGATGATGCTTTTTTTTTTTTTTTTTTTTAATAAAACCAAAATCCAGTGGCTAGTCCAAGGGGTAGCAACTGGGAATCTCAACTTTAGAAACAATTAAGGGAGAATCGGAATTAGAGGAGAAGCAGTCTGTGTTTTCCCAAGCTAGAGTGAAGCTGTTGTTGTTGTTAAGTGCCATTGTGTCAATTCTGATTCATAGCGATCCTATATAGGGTTTCCCAAGAGCAGCTGGTAGGTTTGAACTGCCAACTGTGTGGTTCGCAGTTCAGTGCTGATCCAAGAAGCTAGAATGGTGTAAAATGGCTTAGCACAGCTCCGTATGGAGTTATGAACATTGGACTTGTACATACATCCACCATTTATCCATCCCATGGTGATAGAGTTTAGAGCTCAGCACAGAGAACTGATAATAAATCAATTGCACAAGCGATTTATGAAGGTGATACATGCTGTGAAGGAGAAAGGCAGGTTGTGTGCATGTAGTAGGAATGATGTCTAAGCTAGGATTTTTTTGTTTTCTACTTTTTCTGGGGGTTATGGACAATCAAAAGCTCCTAAGTGGCAAAATGACTTTCACTCAACCACTAAGCTTAAAGTTGGAGGGTTGAGCTCACCTAGGAGTGCCATACCTCCAACTAAGGTTAATAGTTGAGTGAAAATCATTTGAACCCATCTAGGAGTGCCTCAGAATCCTGATGTGGTTGTTGTTGTTGTTGTTAGGTGTCATCGAGTCGGTACCGACTCATAGCAACCCTATGCATAACAGAATGAAACACTGCCTGGTCCTGGGCCAAACTCACAATTGTTGCCACGCTTGAGCACATTGATGCTGCTACTTTGCCAATCCATCTCACTGGGGGTCTTCCTTTTTTTCTCTGACCCTCCACCTTACCAAACATGCTATCCTCTCCTGACAATATGTCCAAAGTATGAGAGATGAAGTTTGGCCATCCTGACCTCCAAGGAGCACTCTGGCTGCACTTCTTCCAACTCAGATCCATTGGTTCTTTTGGAAGCCCATGGCACTTTCAATATTCTCCTCCAACACCAGAACTCAAGCTGCGAGTTAATGTGCTGGGCCACAAGGTCAGTTTGAACTGCAAAGTTGGCAGTTCAAATTTACCAGCCACTCCTTGGAAACCGTATACAGGGTCACTATAGGTTGGAACTGACTCAGTGGCACTTAACAACAACAAGAAGAGTGCCATGAAAGACAGATTTGTCAGTATGCTACTGTACAGATTACAGTCAAGACAACTCTATGGATTGGCTTTATTTTTTGGAACACATGGGCTACCGTACATCAGAATCAAGTCACTAGCAGTGGCTTTGGTTTGGGCTTTAGGAGTGATCAAGGAATGTGTTCCTAAGGAAGTGAGCTTTAAACAAAACAGCAGAGATGATGAACTGGCATGGTGACATTATAGAGGAAGTCTGTGGCTTAAATGGCTCCTTGGTGCCCCATCAAAGAGACAGCCCTGAACTCGGGGGACTATCAGGGTGGCAATTTTGAGGCTTCTGGGATGCCTGTAGTTTGGGGTTTTGTTCCTGCTTGAGAGAGAAAAATTGGCTTGGACTGTGTGAATGCTGTTGGCCCACTCCTACCCTCCAAAATAAAACTCCTGAGCCCCAACCTGCTGAAACTGTGGCTTGAAGACACAAACTCTTGGAGTCCTTGAAGGAGCCAGGCCATTGAGTCTTCTTTTCTCCATCCAGAGATTCCAGGTCAGAATAGTGAGCAGGTTGATGTGACAATCCCTATGAAGTTTCATCTGCATACTGAAAAACAGGGCCTGAGGTTTGCAGACCATCCTTTTCTTCTTCTCCGCTCTCCCTCTCTTCTGCCTCTCACTGTATCTGCAAACTGGAATGGGGTTTACTAACTAGGTGGCTTCCAGGAGTGTAAGAGCCAAGGAACGCCACCCTCTGGTTTTCTGTGCTGAATGTGGAAATACCTACCGCATTGTTAAGAAAATATTCTCTTTAC